ATAGTATGGGAAGACAAGAAAGGATGCCATCAACGGGCCAAAAATTTGGAAGAATACCAAAAGGTAGAAACAGACAGATATGCATTAGCAGAGAAAACCAGAGTGAAGGAAAATACAGTACAGGTTACCACAGGTCCATTAAACATGGTTCTTCCAAGGGAGCTCTGAAGAAACTCAAAGCTGAGTCAAAAAAGACAAAGGGCAGGAGAAGCTGAGGGGCAATTGTTAGGGTAATTCTTTTAACTATGACTTCTGAAAACAGCGCGCTACTTGCCCTGCTTCCCTCTTAGACAGAAGCCAGTAAGGGTGGCTTCTGCCTGTGGGACAAACCAGAGAATGCTTCAAAGAAAAGCGGGATATATGCCTCCGAAGGGCTACCAAGGGTGACAGATGTAAAGGAAAAGCAGACCGGGGGAGCCTGGCTGGCTCAGTCGGAAGAGCATGAGACTCTTTAACTTGGGCAGTGAGTTTGAGCCTTATGCTGGGTGTAGAGATTGCTAATAAATAAATAAAAATTAAGAAAGCAAGCAAGCTAGCAGACAAGATCAAGGTCTAACTCTGACCTCAAGAATATTTAAAGAGGAGTTAACTCTAGCCTGCTCCCTCCTAGGGGAGCCTACCTGTCCACCCACCACATAACCCTCCCACTTATAGAACACATAAACTGCTCTCCCCTTTAGGAGAGGCCTGTGGGAGAAACAGGAATACATATCTACATTATCTTTAAAGCTACAGGAGAGGACACCTGAGTGGCTCAGTCATCCGCCCAGTGGCTAAGGGTCTGCCTTCGTCTCAGGTCTTGATTCCTGGGTCCTGGGATTGAGCCCTGCCAGCCATCAAACCCGGCATCATAGGCTTTCCTGCTCAGTAGGGAGCCTGCTTCTCCCTTTGCCTGTGCACTCTCTCTCTCTCCTGACAAATAAATAAATAAGGCAAGCAAGCAAGCTACAAGAGAGTATTATGGACGTGAAACAAGAATAGGATTCTATCAAAAAAGGGAAAATGTCTAGAAGTTTTAAATGACTACAAAATAGAGGGACACCTGGGTGCTCAGTCGGTTAAGCGGCTGCCTTTGACTCAGGTCACGATCCCAGGGTCCTGGCATTGAGCCCCGCATCATCAGGCTACTTGCTCAACAGGGAGCCTGCTTCTCCCTCAGCCTGCTGTTCCCCCTGCTTGTGCAGGCTCTCTGACATATAAATAAAATCTTAAAAAAAATTTAAAAAAAATAAATGACTGCAAAATAGAAATATTCAGAAAAACTCACAAAATGGAGAAAAGATAAAAGACATTAAAAAATGAGAGAAAAGGGCACGTGGGTGGCTCAGTTGTTAGGCATCTGGCTTTGGCTCAGGTTGTGATACCGAGGTCCTGGGATCAAGGCCCGCATCATCTCTCTGCTCAGCAGGATGCCTGCTTCTCCCTCTCCCACTCCCCCTGCTTGTGTTCCCTCTCTCACTGTGTCTCTCTCTGTCAAATAAATAAAATCTTTAAAAATAAATAAATAAATAAAAATTAAAAAGTTAAAAATAAAAAACAAGAGAAGAGACATACAGGATAGATCTACATGGCCACCAATCTAACAGGAGTTTAAGAACATGAGAGTAAGAGATGACAGAGTTGATTAAATGATCCAAAAAATAAGACACTTTCCCCTGTGCTAAAGAAAGGAGATTCTAGGGGCACCTGGGTGGCTCAGTCATTATGTGTCTGCCTTCAGTTCAGGTCATGATCCCAGAGTCCTGGGGTGGAGCCCCACATCTCCTTGCTCAGAGAGCCTGCTCCTCCCCCTGCTGTGCTTGCTCTCTGTAAATAAATAAAATCTTAAAAAGAAAGAAATAAAGGTATGCCTTTAGATTAAATGGGCTTGCCCAATGCTGAGACGAATTTTGGAACACAAAGGATAAGAAAAATCCTGTAAGCTTCTAGAAATAATCAATACTCATAAAGACATTTAAAGTTCTGAGGAAAAAAGATTTTTATTAATGAGCATGTTACTCCTTTCTAAACAATTTAAAAAATCATCATGACTTTTTTCCAAATAAAATTCAGAATCATGAACCATGTGAAAGAGAAACTAATTCCAGAATAGGTCTCAGCAAACCTACTTGACCTAGAAGATTTGAAAGACAAACTTCTTTCCACAGTCCCTCAATAATGGCTGACATTCATGACAGCAAAACATAAAAAGGAAATATAAAACTATTGTATTCAAGGTATCTTTAGAATCTGCAAACTAATTTACTTTGTACCCTGGCACAAGTTTATCTGGAGACTGGCAATGGACCTGACTCAAGGACTTTCAGAAGCTCAAAGAGCTGGGGAAAAGGAAGTCAGTGGGAGCAGGCACAACAAGATTAAGGGACTCCCTGGACATTCTACTGCATCAATTTTTTACTGTAATTTTGTCTGCATTGTTAACTTTTATTTTCGTGGACTTCCTATACTACTCCAATTCTGAAAATGGAATAAAACTGGCTTTAAAATTTTCCTTTTGGGGTGTCTGGGTGGCTCAATTGGTTAAGCATGACTCTTGATTTTGGCTCAGGTCATGATATCAGGATTCTGATATTGAGCCCTGGGCTCTGAGCTGGGTGTGGAGCCTGCTTGAGATTCTCTCCCTCTGCCCTCCCTTCCCAAACTCTCCCCACACGGCCAAGAATGTACCATGTACATATATAAACATATATATATATATACACACAAAACATACACATACATATCTGTATTATACATACATATATACACATATATCATACATATATACATAAAAATATATGTAAAATTTTCCTTTCTGTACAATCCCCCATAATTCAATAGCAGAATCTAACTTTTGGAGGCATGGGAATCAATGTGTTGGTAAGAAACTTCTAGCAGGCTTCTGTGCATTTAGTAAAACACATCTCTTCACTGGATGGGTGTCCACCTGTGTGTGTGGTCAGTAAGTGGCTGTCAGTCTGGGCTGTACAACAGAATCACCAGATGCTCAAGCCCCATGTTAAAATTCAGAAGATCTAAGTGTGCACAGGCATTTGTTGATACTGGAAGGAGAAAAGAGTATTTTTTGGGGGGCATTCAAATATGACTAATAATTTTCTTTATCCTTCTTTCCCCTTGAGCACTCCTGCCCACATCCCTGACAAAGAATTCATGGTAACAGTATGTTAAGTGTTGCTTTGACACCATGTGGAGACTAGAGGACAACTAAAATTATCCACTTGAGGTCTTACTCCTTCCTGTGGGAAGGCTGGTTTTGTTTTTTTTTTTTTTTTTAAGATTTATTTATTTTAGAGAAGGAGAGTTTTAGAAGAGTGTGCACAAGTGAGCATATGGGAGGGAGGGACAGAGGGAGAGGCAGAGAATCTCAAGCAGACTCCATGCTGAGTGAGGAGTCCAATGCGGGGCTCCATCATACCTCCCTGAGATCATGACCTGAGCTGAAGCCAAGAGTCAGACATGTAACAGACTGAGCCACCTAGGTGCCCTGGTTTTTGCCTATTCCAACAATAAATCCAAAATATTTTAGCTGCTTTTTATGAAAATACAAGTGAGTTTAGTATGAAGCCAAACATCCGTGCACATCATCTAAAATTTCTCCGTACTTATTCAAGTCTATAAATCCTGATTAGAATTTAAGCAAATACAGATGCTTCCTCACTTCTTCCTCCTCCAAGAAATCAGAAATTGCCTCACTTCTCCTTAACAGACATCATTGAAACCTATATGGTTTTATACTCACCCACTTACCCACTCCCAAAGTTGTACAACTACACTGATCCACTTCCAGTACAACGTCAGACTCAAGTTTCCCTCACTGAACTTTCATAAATACACCAACTCTTCCCCTTTCATAAAGCCTGCTTTTGTTCTGATAAACGTTCTTGCTCAGAGGCTTCCAAAATGCCTGGGGGCCCAAGCTCACAGACTTTAACATTCTTCCAGAATCCTCTCCCAGGTTTCTCGAACTTTCCAGAAATACATACCTTTGGAAAGAGGAGTGAAGCTTATAAAATATTCCCCAAGATTTCCAGAAAGAATCACCTGGGGAACTTGTTAAATATACAACTTAACCAGGCTTCTCCAGGAAGCAACTGACTGAAGTACGTAGGTCAAATACAAGAAATCTATATTTTAACAAGCATCCCAGATTTTTGAAGTACCTCTTTTTCTGATGGTGTTCATCATTGCTTGCATACCTGCCACCTTCTCACGTCCTCTTCTCTCCCCATCATCCACCATGCTCCCTTCCACAGAAGTACCCTCCTTTTCCCTATTCAAAGCAGTTTTTTCCTAGTGAATCTACCAGCCATACTGATTTCTGTCTCCTCAATTCCTGCTGCATGTAGTCATGTGATACAATATGGACCTTTTAAGTATACTGTATTCAATAAAATTTCTGGATTGAATGAATCTTTTCTAGGTAAAGTCCAGTGTTGAGATAGCAAGATTAAATGACTTGCAAATGTTCGTATGTAAGTGTGCTGAATGTGATTCTGAAGACATGATTATTAACTCAAATGCCTCCAACAGCTCACTATTTAAACTCTTAGCATTGAATGCTACAGGAAAATGATACCTTAGTTCTTCAACAAGGAGAGCAATTTATTCTGTAGAAACTTGATAATTACAAGCTTTCCCATTTCTTCTCTCTCATAAACAGCTTACTCACAGAGCTAAGGGACATACTAAATAGAGCCGCCTCCTGAAATGAGCTGGTATTTGCTTTAAAAATTGTACCAAGAAAAAAGCAACATGTTCCAGTGGTTGTGAACAGTTAATTCAGCCAACTCTTAATTATCTGAGGAGGAGGGATCTGGAAGACTGCATTTAAAAACCCACAGATGACTCCTGACTGCATTTCATCTAGTACAGTAACTGTGCAATTGCTGCTTCTTTATGGGGGTGCTGTCCTTGTGTGAGAAAGACAGCGAAACACTGAGATTATCTCCAAGTTCCCCTTTAAATTCTAGTAACATCTAGGATTTGATGACTGTACTCACCTTTCCAGTGACCTCTGACTGCCAAGGGGCACAAATTAGGAAGGAAATGATTATCAAATGGAGTCAAGGATTGGGACTCATTACCTACCCTCCAGCCCCTCAACAACAGACTCTCTTGGAGGGAAGAGGAGCTTTCAGCTACCTGAAGACTTCTCTTGACAGATGCCTAAACTTTGGGAAATACAAAATAATCTGGAATCTGGGGCCCACCAATAACAAGTCTATTAATAGGTCTACAGTAGGATCCATTAATCTGCATTTTTAAAAGCACCTAATGCTGGTTCTGAGGCTCTTTGGAAAACATTTTACAGTCTCTTCTCTCACCCTGCTGCATACATGCTTCATGCCTTTCCCTATTTGCTCCTGCCTTTTCCCAAATAAAATATTTTAATTTCTTTCAATCCCAACCATGTTTCAAGACTGAGCTCAAATATCAATCATGTTTTGAAGGCTAAAATGATCATCTTTGCTGAAAGGGACTTCCCAATCTCCAGCACCCCTGTGTCATATGCCAACTTTAAGAGAAGAAAAGGTGTTTCATTTCATTAAATAGTTATTTTTTTGTGTGCAAACTCTTCTCTTGTTAGGGAGTAAACTCTGTAAAGGCAGACTAAGGCTCACATGCTTTTACCTCTTATAATAAAGCACCTACAGTATGTGTGAGGCATTCTGCAAAGACTTCTTAAATGAATGAGATCAAGCAATAAGTGAATGTGTTCCCATGTTTCTTCTGACAAGTAGTTAAAGTTAAAACTGTAGGAAAAAGGAAAATTGCCTAGATTTTGTAGTAACTGTCTAAGTTACTAAAGTTATGGTACTTTAGTACCATAAAAGGTCTTTCAAGTTCTTTATTTGTAAAACTAGGGTTTTCAGAGACTTTTAAAAGTTCATTAAACACCTTTCTGTGTTAAAAGCGTAACATTCCAAACGCTCTCTCTAACCTGACCTTTTTTCATCAGCACAGTTAGCCGTATCTGTGTTACACGAGCTATCTGTATTCCCATGTACCACTACTGACTAACTTGGCCTGAGGGACTCTGAGACATGAGCTGGTACAGGAAGAGACCAACTGGTTTTCTTTTATTCCTTCTTCACCTCCAACCTAACAACGACCTGTTGAAAATTACCAGCAAGAAAGAACACTAACAGTTACTAGGTGGCACCCATTCTAACAGCTATTTCACAACGTGCCAAATTCCTGTAAAGTTGGGAGGTGGGAAGGAGGGAAGAAAAGAAACCCTGAGAATAGGAACAGTGTAATTTCATGTAATGAATGTATTCATCGTGCTATAAAAACCAAAAAGCCAAAAACCTGAATAGGACTGTCAAGTCCACCCTTTCTAAAGAATATGGAGTTTGGAGTCTACAGTAATCTGGTGAACCATCCTAATTTTAAAAGTATGTCTCAGCCAAACCACTCACCAACAATAATCTGAGAATAGTTTAAAGTCTTAGTTCCAACTCAATCACTTTTAGATTTTAGATGATCACTTTCATTAATAAAAGAAAACCACATTAAACATATTCTTTCTACTGCTCACTTTGCCCTAATTAAATTAATCCAAAACTTTCTGAGCAAAATGTAGTTATTTATAATGCAGGATGGTTTGACGAATGTCTTGAACAGCAATAACCTAATTTGAGCACAGCCAAAATGCACTGTATAGTGTGATGAATTGCCACTTTTGAAAGAGAACCTTCATTTCTCATTTTTAAAAGTATCATTAATTTGTATGTAATTTGTGGACACGGTAAGGTGCCCTCCAGCAGAAGGTAGCACAAAAGGGAAAGTCCAGGGTAGGTGATGTATAAAATTGCCTCTTGACAAGCGAAAGGCATCGCCTTTACAAGATCTTAAGCCAGATATACAGCACACAGACTAAGTAGTAAGAGTGGAAGGCTCAGAAAAAAATCCAAATAAATGTAAAACAAGTAAATGTGTGTTACTATACGATTAACAGGACTTAATAAAAAAATTCGTAACATCTAAATCATACAAGTTACATGATTTAAAAAATCACTTGAGGTGACTTTTTCACACAAAATCTAGCGCAATAAGAAGTAAAACAGACAAAACAGACTCAAGTTAATCTGCGGCCTTGGAAGGGGCAGATTTAGCACGAAGTCAGGAACGCGAAATGCCAAAGGCACCGCATCCAAGGATCACACGGGACCCCGAACAGTGTTCCAGTTCTTACAGGACGTGCAAGCCCCAGGATAGGCAGGGCGAGGAGAAAGCGGAAAAGGGAGGAGGGGAGGACCCGCTTCTCGGCCTAACCCACACCCCAGCAGCCCGGGACTTCCCATTCATTCCGCGCCGTCTCCAGGCGGCGGCCGCGCTCCGAGCCGCGGCGTTCTCCCGCGCAGTATCGCGCACTCACCTGTTCGCGAACACGACCTCGCGGCGCCCGAGGCCGCTGAGGCCGCCACCAGGAGCCGGGGGGACGCGGGCCGGGGGGCGGCCGCCGGCGGAGGCGACTGGCGGCGCAGTCCGGGGGTGGGGAGGCGGCGCAGGCCGGACGCGTCTCTCTGCAGCAGGGCGGAGCAGAGCCGCCGCGGGCTCTGATACATGCCGGGCGCCGCCGCCGCCACCGCCAAGGCCCCTCACGCGCGGGAGGAGCGGAGCCTGGCCGAGGTTGAGGCCAGCGAACCAAAGAGAGTCTCGGGAGCCGTCCGAGCGGATGCTCTCCGTGTCCTCGTCGCCCGGCCCAGGCCTAGGGGCAGTCTTGGGCAGGCGAACCCGTGATGGACGAGCACCAGCAGCTGGGGCAACAGCGGCGCCGTCTGCTGCGGGCTGGCGAGAGCTACAGGGTAACCCGCGAGCGCCGCGCGCTGACAAAGCGGGCACGACCAAGCGAGACCAGGAGGGGGGATCAGTGGGACCGGACCCTGGCGCGACCAGGCTGGGGTTCCCGGACTCAGGGTGATATCATTTTGACAGGAAGAAGATCTTAAATTCTTTGTAGGGTGGAGGCTGTAGGAGTTCTAAAGTAATAACTATCTGTTAGAGTGTTTTATAGAAATGCAGCCTCCCCTTCGGCTAGCTGGAATGGAAGCGCCCACAGGCTGAGTGTCCCGAGACCGTTCAGGGCTGTGGCCCTAGGGACACGTGTGTGTCCAGGTGGAAGACCGTATCAGTGTGTGAGTGTGTATGTAAGTGTGAATACAGAAAAAGGCATCCACCCCACCCCTTCGGAAACACAGGTTGCGTTAAGTGAAATTAAATAGATTAAGCATATAAAGCACCAACTGTGTGCAAGGGCCATGATGACTATGACAATGTTCCCTTCCTCAGTGGTGTTATACTCCAGCAAAGGGGGCAAAAGGTAGCAAGAGAAATCAGACGATAAAGCTCTACGAGGTAGATTAAAATTAGAGGTAGATTAAAATTAGTGCCACAAGAGCCACAAGCTTGGCATTAGAAGTCATAACAGGCTTGCGGAAAAAAGAAAAAGATAAAATTGGAAATTAAAAAAAAATGTTGTTTAGAGGAAATAAAAAAGTCTTGAGGATTCTCAAAAGTATATTAGAATTGGCATTTGAGTTGGGCCATGACTAGGAGGTCTAGAATTTAACACACCTGGAATTTGGGAGGGGAGTGGTGGTTATTTATACAAGAAGAAAGAAAATAAGAAAGCCCTGGGTGTGTGTGTTGGGGGGGGGGGACAATTCTTAGTTATGTAGGATGGAAGCTAACGAGTAAGAAGACAGACGCTTAGATAGGTTATGGTGCGGATGGCAGAGATTATACCAGACTTAATTTGGTAGGAAAGGTGACTTATTGAAGTTTTGTGAGCTACACAAAGATATGATCAGGGTTGTGTTTTAATTGGAGATCATGTGTCTCTGGCACATGAAAAGGCAGGAGACAGTAGACCAGCTGAGAAGAAAGATATTCCAGATCTGTATCTAGTACTGGAAAAGTATGGATGGAAGAAACATCTCCCATCGGGTAGGAAATGACTAACCAGGAATGGAGGTAGAGTGAGGGAGAGGGTGGCCCAAGACTGGATTCCTCTTTGGATGACCTATGAGTTAGAAATGTTTTCTTGTTGGTTTTCCCATGATTTTGCTGATTCTCTTATCTTGTGGCATTGGAAGCTTTTCATTAGCAAGAATATTAAAAATATTTTTCAGACCCTGATTATATATCCAATACTCAGAGAGTATGGATGAGTCAGCTGGCACAAGTTGATTGCAACTCTAGGAGATAATCTCCTTAACAAGTCATTAAGCCCTCTTTTTATTTTATTTTATTTATTTATTTGACAGAGATCACAAGTAGGCAGAGAGACAGGCAGAGAGAGAGGGGGAAGCAGGCTCCCTGCTGAGCAGAGAGCCAGAAGCAGGGCCAGATCCCAGGACCCTGAGATCATGATCTGAGCCGAAGGCAGAGGCTCAACCCATTGAGCCACCCAGGCACCCGTCATTAAGCCCTCTTGGTCTCAGTTTCCTTATCTATAAAACATAGAACCATACTTTAGTCATTACATAAAATAAAGGGTGATAATAAAATTAGCTCATAAAAAGTGTTTTGCAAGTACAACAAAATGTCAAATTAGAATTTAGGTGATGGGTATGTGAGTGTTCACTGTTATTTCCCCCTATGTTTGGAAATACTCATAATAAATGTGTTAGGGGAAAAGTGCTTTGAAAAGTTAAAAATACTGTTCAAATATAAACTGTCACCATTAAAAGGATTTCAAAGGACAATTCTATCCTGAGAATGGGTCAGTACTATTATTTTTATGACACATTAAACACTGTACACTTTAAGCAATCAGAAAAACATAAAACTTGCTTCAAAAATCCATTCAAGTAAACATTTGTTGAGTACGTATTATGTGCAGGCTCTACATTATGGCACACAATAATGAACTGAACAGTCTGTTCACAGTTTAGTGGGTGAGACATTGTGTAAAACCAAATATAATTATCCGATAATAAATATAGGATTATGATATGAACAAGATACCGTGGAAACACAGAAAATGCCTAATTGCCTGGAAAAGACAGAAGAGGCATCTGGAACACAGTGACTTCTAAGCAGGAAGGGATGAGGGATGATATCCACTGAAAACAGCAAGGCAAAGAAAGGAGGGATGCTCCAGGAACAGAAAGTACCACACTTTGATAAGGCTTGAGTGCAGAGTGCCCAGAAGGGAGGGCCAGGAGATGAGGTGGAAGGCTGTGAGCAAGAACCAAAGTGTGAAGGGTTTTCAGAAGAGTTTGGACTTTATCCTGAGGGTTCTGAAGAACCGCTAAAAAAAGAAGCAGATAGTTTGCACTATTAAGGTTGTGTTTTGAGAGACCATCCTGTCAACAGTGTGGAAGGTGGACGGGAGACCTGGGAAGAATCGAACAGTGCAGGCGAAAAAGAGCATATGCTGGTTTGGAATCTCGGGAGGAGGGGGAGTGCAAGCATGCTTATTTATGAATCTTTTTTTTTTTTTTTTTTTGAACTACACAGGTGATTCTGATGGACATCTCTCTTCCACTTTCAGCAAATAAATTAGGGCCAGTGATGGTGGAAAAGAGAAGGGTTTACGAAGTATGAAAGAGAAACCACAGGGTTGAGGGACAGATTAAAGGTCGAGGGAGAAGACAGAGTCTAGGTGTGACTTAGGTAGTGGATAACAGCGCCAGATAAGGAAAACAGGTGGAAATGCTCCTCTCAAGCACTGAGTTAAGGTCAGAACACTTAATTGTGCAGTGCTCCTGAACACCTAGGTGGAGTGACTTTGTAGACAAATAAAAACTAGGGACTTGGAGTCCATAACAGGGTCAGGGCCAAACACTTTCAAGAGCTCCAGAGTTGAAGCCATGGCTAGTGAGGTCACTCACGAAAAGACTTTTGAGTGAGATAAGAAAAGCACTAAGGATGAAATCCCTGTGAAGCAGGAAGCCTGGGTGGCTCAGTCAGTGAAGCAAGCTGCCTTTGGCTTAGGTCACGATCCCAACCCGGGTCCTGGGATCAAGTCTCACAACAGGCTTCTTGCTCAGCGGGGAGCCTGCTTCTTCCTCAGCCTGTAGGTCCCCCTGCTTGTGCGCGCTCTCTGACAAATAAATGCAATCTTAAAAGAAAGAGAGAAAGAAAACCCTGTGAGACAAGTACCTTTAAAGATTGGTAGAAGGGAGAAGGACTTGAAACTTGGTCAGAAGAGAACAAGGAGAGATTGGTGTCATAGAGGTAGGGGGACAGAAAGCTTCTAGATGGGTGTAGCAATGATGAATGCTCCCAAGAGATCAAGGTGGGGACTGAATCCATTGACTTTTACAGTTAGGTAGGCGTGGTCATGGTGGAAGAATTCAGATGGCTGATTAATGGGACTGGAAGGCAGGAGACCTATAAAAAACAATGGGATAAAGCACCACGTGAGTTTTCTTTTTCTCTTAAGATTGGAGCAGCCTCAAAAAAAAAAAAAAAAGATTGGAGCAGCCTCAAAATATAAGTTGAGGAGAAGGTGCCCAGTAAACACAGGAGACACTGTACGTGAAAAACTATTGAGACTCTCTGCTTAGCCCTGTTTGCCCAGCAGTTCTGTTATTATCTCTGTCTATTAACATCAGCTGTCTGAAGTGAAGCTACATAAGAGCACACTTGGAGGCTGGAGGGCAGGGGAAATCTTTCTTCCTCTTTTTTTTTTTTAAGTAATCTGTATGCCCAACGTGGGCCTCAAACTCACAACCCCAAGATCAAGAGTCACATGCTCTATCAACTGAACTGGCCAAGCGTCCTCTCTTCTGCGTCTTATAAGGCCACCAGTCTTTTTGGATTAGGGTGCAACCTTTATGACCTCATTTTGTTATAGGATTTTTTCTCCATCAGTGCCCGCAGTTCTTGGTCACGCCGCTTCAAAGAATGAAGAGGTAGACCAGACAGTGGTGGGCAGCCAAGCAAGGTTTATTGAATGATAGCAAAGTGATAGAGCAAAGTGATAGTACAAGGTTCCCAAGGAGAGAGGGGTTTGCCACCAGATTTTCCAAGTCTAGGGGTTTTTATGGGCTTTGTGGCTGACTGTTTTAATCTGATTAACCTTCCCTGCGCCTGTCATTTAATCAGATTTGTGTCACCTATCATAGGGAAAAAGGGTGGAGGGCTCCTTCCAGGCTGGTGTAAAATCCTTTTACAGGTGGAGTCCTCTTAGGATGGGGGCCCCTTGTCCCTGCCTGCCCACCTTCCAACTATCCTTCATCAGTTTAACCTTAATTACTTTCCTAAAGGCTTTATCTCCAAATAGAGTGATGTTGGTGGTTATGGCTTCAGCCTATGAATTTTGGGGGACACAATTCAGCCCATAGCACTGTCAGAGACTGGAAATATATCCGTTGATGAGTAGTCAAACAAAATGAAACAAAGTAGTAAGAACTCTCAGATTCCATTACTGTAAGTTTTTCTTTAGGTTTTTTTTTTTAAATTTTTAAAGGTTTTATTTATTTATTTGACAGAGATCACAAGTAGGCAGAGAGGCAGGCAGAGACAGAGGAGGAAGCAGGATCCCTACTGTGCAGAGAGCCTGATGCGGGGGTGGGGCCTGATCCCAGGACCCTGGGATCATGACCCGAGGCGAAGGCAGAGGCTTTAACCCGCTGAGCCACCCAGGAGCCCTATTCTTTAGTTTTTAATAACTGAATTAGTAAACTAAGTTTATTTTTAAGTAGGCTCC